TGACTAATTGTTGTTTGATGCATATGCTTTTCTTCATACGTAAGCACATAACGGTGAACTCACGCGAATAATTCGGACTTCGACCTTACGCTCCGTTGTCGAGTGATATTCTTCATGCGTAAAGTACTTTATAGACATTCACGTTTGTGCCAAAGATAGAGAGAGAGAGAGAGAGAGAGAGAGAAAGAGAACTGTTACTTGCTTTCTTTTATTTCCGCTTACAAGTGTTATGCGTATTTGCCCCTGGTGCCACACACGACTTCTACAATATTAAAAAAGAATTAAAAAGGATTATATTTATTCCCTAATATACTTACTGTAGTTCCGCATAAGTTTCGTATACACGTGTTTTTAGCGAAAGGGCGAAGAGTTAATATCACGGACAGGAAGGGGGGAGATCTTAATCACTTTCTCCTGGTATATACAACGAGACGTGACACGGCTGAAACGCGCAGGTTTTGTGCGCTTTCGAAACCGGCCGTGTTATTCTCAATCGAGGGAAGCTTGTTTTAAGTTTCCGGGGAAACTGACGCGATGTATTAATTTTAAATAAAACGTCGCGTCAATGAGCTTTACGAGAATTATTTTCGATGTCAGTAATTTTACGTGTAATTTAATGTTCGCTCGACGACATTTAGCATGTTCGAGAAATTGCGGGCGGTCTTGATAATCCGCAGAAATGGCCTGTTTCGTGTTCTCTGTCCGCGCATTATCTACTTATATATATGTGAGAGAGAGAGAGAGAGAGAGAGAGAGAGAGAGAGAGAGAGAGAGAGAGAGAGAGAGAGAGTGTATAACGAAAGAGTTGAATGCCGAAGCTCCAGCAATCCGCGTCTTCTTTGAGCGCAAACAAGTTAATCGACATGCGGAAAGGTGGTAGCTTATTCTTTCGTCGTTCGCTCACCAACCGTACCGCATTTGCAAGTGTTATGGGAGATCTAAAAGTAAACCACTATTATCAATGAGAAGCCGTATCGAAAAGCCAGCACGAAAATATCCAATTACAAGTGGTACGGCGTATGGACAGTATTCACAGAGAATAGCCTCTTTCTCTCCCTGTCCTTGTTTAGAGATAAGACACTGTATATTATATAATGTTTTATGCTATCGTGTAAATATAATGTAGGTACTTGCTGCTGTTTATGAAAGTCCGATTGATCTTGC